ATCGTTCTACGAAATATGAGTAGCACTCGTGCGATAAGCGAAACAGCTGAGTGGTTACAAGTGTCTTTATATGTAGCCTTTTAATTTTGGTAGAAATTCGGCGAAAAAAAAATGTTTTCTTGATCAAAAGGAATTTATATTGTCTTTATCAATGACCAGCTGAGAGAAGCTTGGAAATCAAAACGCAGAGAAACTTAAACATTTTTTTGTTAAATGTGTTTAAGTTTGGAAATAATTATTCAACAATACATACAGTTCATCAAATTTCTAGAGGTGTTCGACGCCCAGACAGAGAACGCGCTACGTGTGACTAAGATAGCTATTGTACAGTCTGCTAAACAAGTTATTTTAAATAGTTTTTAATATTTTTAGGTAATTAAATTTTAAAAGTGTGGAATAGTTTAGGGATTAAATTGGTCTGATTGGACTTTCTTAGAACGTTTTTAAAAGCAGCTAAAGAGTATGTAGAATTGAAAATAATTATTATGCCATAAAAGGTGTTTTGGAATTCCTTCAACCTTTTGAAATTGAGTCAGAAAATATAAATTTTATAGGATAGCGGAAAATACCTATAATTTTTTTGTAGGCCTCTGTAAATCGTGGAAATAGTTTATATTTTATTTCTACCTTATTAAGGAAAATGGTACCTATTATTAATAACGGTTGTTTCTGAAACATTACTAAAATTTTCGAAATTTTGATTTTCTACAAAATAATAAACTATACTATTTAGAAAAAATTTATTTCTCTTATAATTTTATAAAAAATAACAGGGGAATATTTACATTTCTTGATCTATTAAACAAAACGATAAATTATCTCGACGAATGACACCATGTTCTAGTACGGAAGCTAGCTTTACATTTTTGTTGGTGGTTTCATGGGTTTCATATCAATTTTTTGTAATTGTAGTTTACACGTACATATACCTCTTAACACTTGTTTGCTTTATTAAAAAAGTGTGTTGTTGTGATTTACGTCGAAATAAGTCAAAAACAACTTGAAACCCCATATAAAATCAAAAAGGAGAAACGGAAAAAAATTGAGCCTGTAAATGAACACAACTCGGAAACAAAAATAGCTATCTAATAATAAAAAAATAAAATTTGATTCTTGTGCAGCTTCATCTATATCATTAACTGTTTTTGGTTTTTTAATGGTTTTTCTTGGTGATGAAAATTCCGATATCTCACGGTTATCGATTCTTTTTTTCTCTCCAGAAATGCGGACGACAGTGTTTTTAGATACTCCTATGGCTGCAGCAACACGATCATTTACATTTTTAAATGGTATTGAAGGTGAATTAAAGTTTCCTTCTCTTCTCATAAACTCTATAACATCGGCTATTATTTCGCGAGATTGACTGTTAATCACGCGGCCTCTTAATTTGCTATTAAACTCCATACTTAGGTTCTATTAAACTGTAATGAGCAAAAAACACAAACGAAAATAAAAGAAATGTTTTAGCGAAATTTACATCTGACATTTACGTCCGAATGAAATAGTGAAATACTTGATGCGCAGAGTGTACTTTCATTGCGTAAATCCGTCGGGATGCCTGTCAGTAGTGCTTTCTCTGTCTAGCCGTCGAAAGCCTCTAGAAATTTGATGAACTGTACCACTGAGTTAAAAATAAAGCTATCTAGTGACCAAGTCATTAAATTATAGCAGGGGCGCTACTGAGAAAATTTGTCAGGATGGACGAGTGCTCTTTCCAAATTATGATTAACTGTTAATTCTACCATTCGGAAAGTTAGGTACAGGTCAGGTTAATGTTATTTTCATGTTACCAGAAAGTCAAGTACAGGTCAAGTTAATCCCTGAGGAGTACCTCTGAACTTAACGATGTATTCATGTCACCAGAAAGTCAAGTATAGGTCAGGTTAATCCCTGAGGAGTACCTCTGAACTTCTCTACTGTTTTATTTAGTAACAAAGTTAAGTACAGGTCAATTAAATATTTAAGGAGTACTTCTGAAGTTCAATTGAAAGCTTCCGCTTTTGTCAGTAAAAAAAAAAGTTAAGTAGAGGTCAGTTAAATATTTGAGGAGGAGCCTCTGAACTTTAATTTATAGTTTTTTTTTTGTGATTAAAGAAATTAAGTATAGGTCAGCCAAATATCTGAGAAGTACCTCTGAACTTATTGCTTTTATTTTGTCTGCTTAGCACAAATTTAGTGAAATCTTTTGAAATATTAAATATAGTATAATTGTTAGCATCGTGCAAGCTTTATGTTTTATAAATGTGGTCTGGTATCCGAGGATTCACAATCACAGAAAAAATCGGTAAGTTGTACTGTCCTGGATGGGCGGTGTTAGCAAGTAATTCTTCTGTTTTCGGTTTTTCCTTTGTTTTGTTGCCTAAATAATATATTAACTGCCCGAGACCTACTATATGACTTGCTTTTTAACCACGCGATGGCAGGTGGTAAGCATTTCGTGACTAGTAGATTGAAAAATGCTGGACGGATATTGTTGAAATCCGAGGAGAATAGCTTTTGTTTTAAATGATTTAAAATTGAAAAATGCTGGACGGATAGATATTATTGAAATCCGAGGAGCATAGCTTTTGTTTTAAATGATTTAAAATTGAAAAATGCTGGACGGATATTGTTGAAATCCGAGGAGCATAGTGTTTATTTTAAATGATTTTAAAAAAATATAAATTGAAAAATGCTGGACGGATATTGTTGAAATTCGAGGAGCATAGTTTTTATTTTGAAATAATGTTAAACATATTAATTGAAAAATGTCCAAAGAGCAGATTGTGTTATAAATTATTTTAAAATCTTGAATAGAGTGTTATAAATTATAATACATGGGGTGTTCTGTCACTTATTTAAAAATGCAAGGTTTTGCCTCGTCTCAGAATGTGACGAGAGGATGAACAGAAAACTTGAAATAATTGGTGTGGAAAGAATTTGGCGGCTGATCTTGTAATTTTGTTATTTTTACTTGAAATGTCTTTTCTTTTTGTTTAATATTTTTATAATTTAAAATAATACAAATTAATAACCAGTCGTTACATAAAAAAAGATAATATTTCGAGAGCGAAATATAGATCAGTATGGCCGTGTTAGCAGATAAACAAATTTTTGTTAATTGTATTACGGTAAAGCACATTGGCAGTCAAGAGTAGGGGGTGCGAGAAGTGATGGCGGTGGTAGCGTACCGTCGGGTGTACTCTCCCGGGCAGATCGAGTTGAGTTGCCTTGAGTGTTATAGTGAAGTCAAGCTGTTAGTTGATTCTCACGCATTCTGTTCTATCGATAATGATTTGGTAACTAAATAATTATTTGACTTGATAATTAATAAAATCTAAGATATATTTATAACTGATGTTAGGATGTTTGAATTCACTTGATATTGGGAAGAGTCCCAGACCAGATTACAAATCAGTTTTTGAAGCAGTGTGCCTTTGCTATGAAGATCTTTATGGTTTCTGTCAAGAAATCGCTGACTGAAGTGGGAAAAATCATTTGTTAAACTTTTGTTGAAGTCTAGAGATCCGTCGCTTATTACTAATTACAGATCAATTACCAGTTTATCGTCAATTCCTAAACTTTTTGAAAGTATTGTTAATTACCAACTAAGTGGAAAGCTACGATCCATTTGATACTCTACCGAGTATGTTGCTACTGTTGTAGAAGATGGTCATCAAGTGGATACAATTTATACGGATTTGACAAAGGCTTTTGATCGAGTTGACCACAATATTTTAAAGGGCAAATTGTATGCTCTAGTAATTTATGCACAGACTTTGAATTGGCTAATTTCTTATTTTACAGACCGTGTTGTGTAAAATTCTTGTTATCGTTTTAATATAATTTTAAGGATTTTATACTTATAGTTTATACATTCGAAAATTATATACTTACATTAAATAGGAAAAAAATGAAGATTGGTCATTTAAACATTAGATCTGTCTTTACAGGCTTCAATGATTTTAAACATTTATTTGAACAAAGTGATTTTAATATTATGTTTCTTACTGAAACATGGCTGACAAACGATGTAAGTTCTGATGTAATTCATATTCCAGTTTATAATTTCTTTCGGTTAGATAGATTAGGAAGGGGAGGGGGTGTCGGTGCATAATATGTCAAGACAAATATTCAATGTCACATAATAAAATTTAATTTTGAATTAAATAGTGAACTGGAGTTTTTGTTTTTAAAACTTAATATAAAATCTCTAAATTTTGCTATAGGTGCCTTATAATAGACCGCGCGACAGAAATGTTAATGCTTTTGTAAGTGATTGTGACAATATTTTTTCTTTGTGTCCCTTATTTAATGAAACTATCTGTGTGGCGATTTTAACTCGTAATTTTTTTGACTTAAATAATCCTGTAAAATCCTGTTTATTTTTTAATTATAAACTTATGTATTTTGTAAATGGTTTAAACCCTATGATAATAAATAAATAAAATAGATAGATATGAGGGGCAGAAGTCACCATCTATTTCGAGGTGTGAGTTTTGAAAGTTTTACCAGAGATAACACGAATTTTATCTCAAAACTTGAAACATTGACTGTAGTCCAAATTTGAGGTGCTATTGATCATCTCGGTAGCCCAATGCGTTGAGTAGCTGTTATTCATTTATGCGCCTTTTAGTGGTTTGGCAACACTGCTTTAGATCCCAAACTATTAATTTTTTATTAATTTGCATTGTAGGATCAGATCAGCTACCCTGATGTAAATATCAGACATTTAAATGATTCCATTCTATTTTGACAGTATTTTGAGATGATGGGATGGTGTAAAGGGTTTTGAGTGTGTATCTATGTGCATAGGATGATTTTTTGATGCCATAGATGATTCTAGTTTGGAATATGTTTTGGAGAGTTGATAGCGATCACAGATATGATTCATTGTAATGTTTTAAAATAGTTGCTTTGGGGGGAGTTGGTGTAGAGAGAAATGTGTGTAATATCAGAATGAGGTGACTCAGTATTTAAGAAAATGAAAAATAATTTAAATTTAACAACAATATATTTGTTACATTTAAACGATACACTATTTCTTTCTTAATCCTAACGATCTGAGCAAAGCTTTTGGAGAAGGATCTCTCCCGCGGAATTCTCTAAATATCTGCCCTGGATGGACACTACCACCTAAAGACAAAAATGAGTCACGAAACCTTTTGCTAATTTCTAAAGTTTTATGTTCATTATCCCTAACTTCGTAAAAGGCACTATATATATCGGCGGCTATCATCTTTGACCAGATATGAGAATAATAAGCTGCACCCCATTCATCTCCGAATATTTGGATGAAAGAACATGGATGTACGTCTAATTTATGCAGTTTGAAACATTTGTAATCACTCCACATTCTTTTTACAATGTCCAACCAATAATCTTTCGTGGAATGCAGTTCTAAATCTAAATATGCTAAATACATTTCATTACACAAATCTAAACCAGCCATATGTTTCTCAGACTGCACTAAAACTTCAAACATCTCGTTTGGAAGCTTCTCGCCCGTTTCACAATGACTGGTAATACTGTCCATTACAGTTTTATTATGCAACCAATGACTTAAAACATTTCCACAAACTTCCACTGCATCCCATTCCACATTTGATAGTCCGGCCACTTCTGAATATTTTGTACGAGTTAGTAAATGTTGCAAGTTATTGCCAAACTTCTGAAATAAGTTTTTGGTTTCCTTAAAAGTTAGACAGGAATCCCTGCCTTGCTGGGGAGGATCGAAATTGAAAATCAAAGCTGACAATGGGATTCTACCAGTAATTTGACTTTTGTTTTGTATTGCAACCATCCAACCAGTGTTGTCAATCTTTAATTTCTGTTGATGCCTTGCATATGGATCAAAGTAGAAGCCAGCTATTGGAGCACTCAAATGGTCTTCAAATACATCATAAAATTTAACATCCTTGTGCCATCCAGTGGTGTTGGGTCTTTCTTTGATTTTGATATCAAACATTTTTTCACAAAATTGAAATAAACCGTTCACTACGGATTTTAATGGAAAGTAGGATTTAAAGTCAGTTTCATTGTTAACATATAAATATTTTTGTTGTTTCTTTCTCCAATAATCCACGTCCCATAATTCAAGTTCGCCATCTTGGAATCCCTGTGAAGTAGCAAATTGGTGGAGGTTTTTTATTTCATTCTGTTGTGCAGGATAGGCTTCTTCTAATAACGTCCTTATTGTATTTTTAACTTCTGATACACTTGTTGCCATTTTGGTTTGCATTGACATATCTGCATATGTATCAAATCCTAATAATCCAGCTACATCTCTGCGAAGACTACGAATTTCCTCCACATTCAAGCTGGTTGTCAATTCTGAATCTCCAAATTTACTCCCTCTACTCATTAAAGCCTGCCAAAAGTTCCACCTAATATCCCTGTCTGGACAGTATTCCATTACCGATCTATAAATATATGGCTGAAGAGTTAATTTCCAGGGACCCTTTTCTGGAAAATGTGGATCAATTGAAGTAGCCTTTAATGCATATTCAGGAAAATCTTTTACAATTTCTTGATCTGATACTGTTTGACTAAACCTTTTGGTGGAAACTTCATTTTTTTGTTTAAATAACGTTTTTTCTTTAGACAATTTATTTAAATATTCATTTAAAACTATGCTTTTTTTAGACTCTTCAATATCCAGTCCATTTAACCTGCCCTCAACTGCAAATTTTTGTAGTATCCTAGATTGTTCAACAGTTTTTTCAGTCTTGGTTTGTAGAACATCTTTTACAGCATTGTAAATACCTTTATTACTGTATTTTGAAGCTCTAGCTTGTCTTGCACGTTCATGTATGGCTATGTAGCTGGAAGTTGGCATTAAAGTACTGTTTCCTAAATACAATGTTTTGGATAATCCCCATGTCAAATCTAATGGCCCTCCAAGCGATTCTAATGAATTAAATACCTGTCGAAATATGTCTTGTGTCCCCGCATTACTTATTTCTTCTTCTATTTTCTTCACGCCTGCTTCAAATTCTAAACTTTGCTTTGCTATTGCAGCTCTACAATTTTCAATCGTTATGTTATTAAATTCCGGCAAACCATCGCTTTTGGTAAACGGATCCTTCGTTTCCGAGTCTTCTCCAATTTCAGGAACACTGCAACACATGAAGTATTATGAGCTATATTTTTGTATTCATACTTTTTAATTTTTAGTACTCACAGTATTATGTATCCATGTTGATATCGACGAGATAGAATTTTTTTTCCAAAAAGTACACGAGACCAATTATTAGCCAGCATTTTTAATATCTAATTGGTTTTTGTTATAAATATAAATATATTTTTTAGTACGGTCAACTTTAAACTCGTTTTAAAATGAAAAGTGAGGTTAGATTAGACATTTTATATCTGACATTTTGCCGTTTAGGTGCAATGGCGCCAAGTTCAAACCATGGTTCAAAGTGAATATAAACTAAGTTCAAAACTGAATATAAAATGTAAATATATGTTGTTTATTGTTATCTAACTTCTATGTAATTATAAATAGTCTTGAAAAGTTTTTTAAACCAAATATTAGTTGAATTTTATAAGGAATTTGGAGAATCAATAATAATTATAAATAGTGCCATCTTTTAAAGAGTAGTACACTCAATGATTTAAAAATTGTTTGAACAAACAATTATAGATGTCGCGTAAGAATAGCAAAATTGTTGATTCTAGTGATTTTCCCAGTGTAAGCATCGTGTAAGTTCGCGTGCACGATCGAGTGTAAGGAAAACCAGGCGTTGCCAAATTGGTGAAAAAATAAAGTTGATACGGAAAGTGATTAATTTCTCATTGAGGATATTATTTAAAAGTGTGAAAATAATATATAGTGATCCACAGAATTTTTTTTTCTAATATAACATTAAATTACATTTTTTTGTAATTGCAACAAGTTTCAAACTTATCTACTTTACACAACCAGTTACATCAAGTTGAATGTGTTATGTAAATGGTTACGAAAAGTTAATTATGTCACCAGTTGCGAAAAGGAAACATAAACAAACCTATTTTTGGTTTTAAAATCAATATTTATACATTGCGTTTTTATCGATGTAGAAAGGTTGGAAAAATAAAAATAGATTTTATGAATGAACTTAAAAGTAGACATTTCACGTTATTGATGATCTCTTATTACTCAAGCGCAAATTCTACGTCCTCTTAAAATCATCAAAATTTATTGTTGTTTCCTACCCTGAGTTCCACTTACACATCCGCAAATGTCATTTTATTTTTGCGTTGGATACATGCGGAGCATTGATCTGGCAACGTAAGGATACGTCATATGTAATTATTTTTGATATACAAAATTGGGACCGGTAGGCGTGGCTTTTGCACTCACTAAAATGGCGGAAGAGCAGAATCGGATTTACAAGTTTTTATTGTACTATTTCTGGTTAAGTATCATTATTTGAACTATAAAAAATGAATTTCCTTTATTATAGATAAAAATTTACACATTGACTTAAAAGGTGGTGGAAGGCCAAGGTTACAAAAGAAGGGGGTCTAAAGATTTAAATAGAGTAGAATTTAAGGCGTGCTAGCTCTTTATAAAGCTATCGGAGTTCTTTCTGGGTAATACTAAAGTTTGCAAAAAATTGAAAACTTTTTTATTATGCACAAAATTGATTCAGAAAATTACATCTATTTTTTTACATATTTTATTTAAGTATGTAAGTGTCGTATTTTGAATGATTTAAGTCGTCAAATCTTAAAAACATGTCGGCTCATTTAATATTAAGAAATTTAAAATTAAACTTAAAAAATGAGAATATTTAACTTGTTAGTAGTTCGTGGTTGAAATAAAGTTATATAAAAATCTTCACGTTTTTCAATCGCCTCTACATCCACAACTGCAAAGCAATACAACCCACTCCAACGTTTAATTCGTTTCACTGAATGAGACTTATATCATAACTACTCGTACAATGTGAGGAACAGTAGGGACATCAGAGCGGCTGCAATGAAAACAGCTAGCAGGAAAAAGAGTTAGATACTATAATGTCTGAAGGGATAAAGCTATGCAATAAACTACTTGACAGTATGAACTATCTAAGCATGATTGCATGGAAAAAACGACTCAGAAAATGGATATTTGGTATGGTTTCTTCGAAGAATGAAAACGTAAATCAGTGTTTGCCTCTCTGTATTGTTACTTATGCCCGTTTTGTTTTATTTATATTGAGTTTTTTTATTAAAATACTTCTTTGTAACTAATTAAACTTTTAAAATCTACTTGTCAAGCCCAGCTTGCTCTAACTCGGGCCTTAACTGGAGAACTATTCTTAATGAATAGGAACCAGTTGAAAGTGATAACAGGGTTCAATACTGGGCACGCCCCAGTAAAGGGACACTTAAACAAAATTGGCATGTACAATGGGGAACTCATGTGCCGACTATGTCACAAGAAACCAGAAACGGCCAAACACATACTGTGCGAATGCGAAGCTCTAGATCGCAAAAGACAGGCTCTTTTTGGACAACCCCAGGTTGATCCAACAACGTATAGAACCCACTCACCCAAGGATCTGCACAAACTTGTACAAGGTACAAATGTGACAGAGTGGGTGCTATGAACTAACATGGGGTAAAACACAATAAGCCAATGGGCTTCAGTGTTATTCGGAGACACATAGTCAGACGAGCCCAGGAGAAAAAAAAACTCGGGCCTCTGAATATAATATTTATATTCATGTAATTGTATTTACAATAAAGAATTTGTTATTAATATTATCATTATTATAATTAATTATTATAATTCATAAATGTATTTACCTTGTACCTATACTTGTATTGAAACGTGAAAAATAAAATGTTACTTTTTATATTTCTGTAGCTTATCTTATAGAGCAGGTTTATACAGGAATTCACCATTTAAATTCAAAAACAAAACAATTTTTTATATTCAATTAATTAAAAAAACTTAAAACAGAACATAAGTATAATTAAAATTTAATAAAATGAATAATTCAAAAAAAATGTTCGACTGAGCAATGACAGTGATAACAAAATTTCAATTAAACTAAACTTTCTTCTAAACCGGTTCTGTATAAGGTTTGTTTACCAGTGAGCACTTACAATTGAGACAAAACACAAACATTGCATGTACTAGACAAAGAGAAAACATCTCCCAGTTCGACCCGCTTTTCATCGCTTTATTTACATATGAATAAGCAGTCTATATATACTATATGTCATTGAGCCCAATGCTTTCTGTTTCTATCTTTAAATCGGAAAGTACAAGTCGCAAATGTCAAGTAATCTAACCTTACTTTAATTAATAGCTTCCTCGAAATTAAGAACAAATGTTCATACACTAAAAGTTCGATAATCCGATATGAAACTTAATGCAAGGCTCGAGGAAAATGGCTAATAAATAATCTCTGTGTAGGTAGATGCACTATTCAGGAAATCAAAATGTGGATTAATTTTACTTGGTCTTGGTACTCTTGTAGATTCAGACTGAAAGATGTGTATCTTCATGCAAGACATTCAGTAAATCAGCGAAGCCACAACCAGCGGTGTGAAGGTAGGTACAGGTGCACTTCTAACAAATGTAAAATATGAAGTGATCTTACTTGAGACTTATAGATCCAGTGAGGATAATATGGTGGTTGGTTTGAGCTGGGCTTCTCACCATCTGCAGAGATTATGACTACTTATGTAAAGGCCTACCATAGTAACAACATCACCACAAGAGTGTCTGTCCAATTTAATTGGTCTATGCACAATAATCATGCATGTATGATTGAAAGTCAGACAAAGAATGTGAAGATAAAGTTAAAGTCTCAATCATAGTTAAAGTCACAGATGAAGTTAAAAGTAAGAGTTGAAATTGTAGGCTGGTGATAAAGGGAGGCCAACATCTAGGTAATAAATGTTTGTCGAGTTAGGAACAGTATCATCTGCTGTAAGCGCTTTTCTTAACAACTAAGGTAAAAACCAGAATATTTCATAATACACAATTTCTTCGCTAGGCAAAATAAGAAATAAATTTGTGAGAGTACTTCCCAAGTGTTTTTCAAAAGCTCTAAGAACAAAATTGATGAAAATAGCCTAAGCCAAGTTCAAATTCTAAAACTTGAATATTAAAGATAAGTAACTTACTGTAAAATAAGTAAAACCTCATTGTTGATTAAATGGTTGAATAATTCATTACCTGGAGGTAGAATAGTGACCAAAGTTAAACAGAAAAAGCCACTAGAAAAGGTGAACAAAACAGAATGGGGCATATAAAAGTCAAGCAAATATTGTAAATGCAAATAATGTGTGCTGTGATTAAATAAAAGTGTACAAAGAATAAAGTTTTAATATTTTCTTATCCATATCTATGAGTGATATCTGAAACACATTATAGGCAATTAAAAAGATCTATTAATATTGTTCTAAATTAACTATAATAAAACAAACAATACTCATGCATACACAAAACATGAAGCTCTACTTTTCAATCAGCTATAGAACTAATATAAATAAAACTGGTGGAAGCAGCAAATGTAGGTTATATTTAAATAGAAATAAGAAAATAAAATGCCTATAAATTTGATAAACGACATAGCGTACAATTAATGTACTTTTCAAGAAAATGCTTGGAACATATACAGCTGAATTTAGAAGGTTCCCAATTATGCCTGTTGACAAAATATCCACGCGCTACGTTGTTCAGGATTTTCTGGAAATCTATAAATATGATTTCATATTAAAAAGTATTATTCCAATATAGGTAGGCCCAAAAGTTGATAGATGATATTTTTTTGCATTTTTAAAAGCATACTTTTACACATTTTATACAAACATGTCGTAATACTGTCCTGTATAATATTTATAATTTTGATACTAACCTAAGAAACGTTATTCCAGTCGATTTTTTACAAAAACGACTATCGCTAGACCAGGAACATATAACACAACAAGGCATTATAAACTTTATAAGTTTGTAATACTCAAAATTTGCTCAAATACAAATTAAATTCAAATTTATTAACACAAATGACACTAAAATATAACCTATAAAATTTGACAATTTGCACTCACAGTAATGGCGGACCGGTCCCACTTTTCGATTACGCATGTCGTATCCCTAGGTTGCCAGATCAATGATGCGGAGGCACGGAAGTAGGATATTGAAGGAGATGCTATGTTCATTTAAACATGTATTTTAAAAATGACATAACCATAATGTTTCAGAAGGGTTTATTGTTTATTTAGATTTTATAAAATTAATTTATTAATTAAATCTTAATAACCTCTATACACGTTCAATAGGCCTTCTGAATCAAAGGTAAATTTAAAGAAACCATTCAAAAACAATTCTGTA